CCCCCCCCCCCCCCCGGGGTCGCACTGTAAGGGGAACCAAGGACCACGTGACTTAGGTTTTACTCCACCACCTTAGACCTGTACGCACAGAACAAATGACAAGTAAATGACTAGGGCAGATACATTGAGTGGCAATGAAGGCGGCGAAGAACTGAGTTTGGTCAACGAGCATTTTCTTCAAAAACGTTTTAAATTTAGACTCTTTGGAATCTATGCAATATGCACAATTAGATAGAGTTTATTTAGGAGGTTCAGTCAAGTCCCCACTGATCATATACCTTAGACATATTGGAATTCCTTCATACACTTTCACTTGTTCTCTGATGTTGCTATCAGAGCATAATATTCTTAGAAGGTTTGCTGACAGCCTGCAGACACAAATGAAGTAAAAAACATTGTCAGTCATGACTCAAATAACTGCCTACAAGTAACAGTTTGAGCAGAGAGAATTTTTTTTTAACATAATCAGATGGCATATCAACAAAAAGTTGCAATTTTATCGAGTAATATATTTTTTCTTTAAAAAATAACGTAATAACTGTATCAACGGAATTTCCGAGGCATATATATATATATTCAAACTTACGTTTTTGATAGCATATCATAATCTTGGAGAATCCTAAGTATAGTTTCTGTGCAGTTCAGCTCACCAATAAGAGCACATGGCTTTTCACTAGTGAGAAAAAAAGAAGAAAGGCGATGATGACCATAAAGATGGCAAATAATGTTCAAACAAAAAGGGCCTGATCCATTGCTTTCTATTCCAGGGCCCAGTTGTACCAAACCTGAATAGTGCTATCTGAYGGATAAATCTTATCCAGTGGATAAATTTATTGGATAACAGCATTGACTTATCCACTGGATAAGGATTTATCCGCCAGATAGCGCTATCCAGGTTTTGTACAACTGGGCACAGATCTTCAATTATTTTCTGGAACATTCTTGGAAAATGTTGTTGCTGTTGCTATAAGATTTAATGTAATGGAAAATGGAAAGAAGGGAAAAGGTCAGAAATAAAAAAAGTATTTGTTMAATCCAAAGGTAGATAAGCTGTTTCTGCTGAGTACTGTGTCTTAAAATTATATTTTATTATGATTTTAAAAATGATTTTAAAAATGGTTCATTTTCTTAAAATGTATCCTTACATCTTTTAAAGCTTATAAGAACAATAGAATTAACTTACATTGTAAACTGGATGGCAGAAATATACAAGCATATGTGGGGGGGCAAGTTACATGWACATAGCTGCTATGTGGGTTGATGATAACAAAACATTAGCTTCTCTTGTTAGATCAACCAACATGGCAGTTGTTTCATTGTTATTTATATCTTAAGGGATTTTGAGTCAGGTGGTCGTATTGCGCCCCAAGAATTAACAGTTAATTATTAACTTACAGTTACTATAAGCCATATTAGGAAGTGGTTAGATTTACCTTTGTGCTAATCCAATCAGGGCATACAGTGAACAGTGCAATACCATGACATCATTGGCTGATAACAGTAATATCAGGGCCTAAAAAAACACGATGGATTAGGGTTAATTGTTTATTTACTGCTTTCAGGGGCAGATGCAGAACATTTTTAGGAATGGGTTAACACCATTTATTATCAGGATGTTTTCAAACTCCAGCACCAATAATGCATAACGCAGTAGTATGCGGGGGGGGGGGGGCACTGCTCTCCCCCCTGCACCCCTTACCTACATCTGCCCATGCATGGGCTTTTCATTTATAGCTTTAAAGTAATTGGACTTTGGACCATCACAATCTTTGAAAATTATACTTATCTAAATGATTTCTGGTGTTTGGTGTTAGCTGTAATTATAAGTGGGAACAAACTACCCTGCTAGTATGAGATTYCAGTACCTTGTGAGTCCCACAAGCCACCATCCATTCCCTCTGCTTCACATCTGAAGATAGTTTTTGACAAATATCTATATGGAAAAGRATAGAAACTTTATCATTAATCCATTTCTAGTAAAGACAATTATACCAATTACCAGCATAATGTTCCAGACAATACCCAGAGAACACCTCCCCCCCAGATGTTTTGGAATTTTTAAGGTTTTTGGAAAATATCCTGAGAAAAGGAAAGAAACTTTCTAGAGGAGGATGCATGGGAGTTGTGGTATGATGGCAATCCCCTTTTAACTTGGATACCATATGCATCTAATTAAGCAACACCCTTCATTTAGCTACATTCTGATTAGCTTATTTAGCTCGCTAAAATATCATGCTTACTTGTCATTTCTTTTAGGATGTCAACTGTGAATTGTTCCTCCCCATTTTCCAAGTAATTCTCTGTCAAAAGCTGCAACCTCTGAAATAAAAAATAGAGAAAACATAAGTTACACTATAGTGTCTGTACATGTAAGTGGTGAATTTAATTTTCTGAGAAATAACAAGTGGTGTAAGCTGGAAAAATAACACCCAATATTACTGAATATTACCTATACAAATATTATTACAAATTATATCATCAACATTTTACCTCAGATAAGAGTTTTACTCCTCCAAGTTCAAAAAATAATGCCTGAAATGGGGGAAAAATTATTTGTTAAGAAAGTACATTATTTCAAAACAGGTTGGTAAGAGTTGTTGCATGTTACATGTTGGATACAAGTCCAAACTGCATGGGTGATGTGAATTTAATCAGTGAAAGGTCACATCGATATAGAATATATTCTAAACTTTGTCTAGTACATGTCTTTTCTGGCGTAATTACTTCAGTGCTGATATTAATTACACACATATTAATATAATACGTTTCTAGCTTGCCAGTACATGTAGTATGCAACATGCAGCATGGAAGATGCAGAATGCAACAAAACCTTCACCAAACTCTTTTTGAAATAGCTGTACATACAGCAAAAGTGAATACATATATGCAAAAAAAAATTTAATGGCAAACCTGGAATGCTTTGTCCCTCATGAGCATCCTCAAGCAAATTAGAACACGAAGGATGTTTTCTGGTGGTGCTCGCTGTGTCCATTCTCTGATGACATGAACAAACAAACAAACAACGGAATCAGATTTTTAATGATTCAAATTCAGGTTGTAACATTGCAACAATGTAGAGCACAGTAAAACCATGAAATAAAGACAAAGTAGATACTGACAAACAGTAGCTATTTAGTGACTCATCTTTGCTATCACTCAACCAGAACATTCATTACACAAAGACACAAATGTTCTCTTGTGTGTTTGTTCTGTGGGTCATTATTTCTCTATAATACTATATAATTTTAATGATACTACACTGTACTCACAAGCAGCAGACTCTGTGCTTAACCAAGGACGTGAACACCTATGAYGAATTTAAAAAAATGTTTTAATATCAAAAATTTTTATTAACAAGTGATCATCAAGTATATAGAAAGACAATTTATAATATACATGTATAATTACTCTAGGCTTGGACAAATACCTGTAAGAAATAGCTGTGGTGTGGATGAGATGTGAAATTTCTTGTACTTTGGTATCTTGAGCTGAAGGCAAAAATTTAAAAATTAGAAATACAGTATATATCATTACATTAAAAATAAGGCATTATCATGTATATTTCCAGCTGTGCTGTTAAACAAAATGTCCAGTCCTTGGAGCTTGAAAGAATGAAGCAAATTAACATGGCAGTAAAGTTAAATTTTTTTCGCTTTCCTTTCCATATTTTTGTAGGCACTTATATTATATTCTAATCAAAAGAAAATAGAAAAATATGCAAAAGTTGGGTTGCAGTAGCCTGAAAATTAGGGCCTGCAGCAAAACATCTAAATGCTCTGTGATTGGCTGAAACAAAATTCACCAGCTTCTGGTTCTAAAGGCCCTGTTACACGTTGAAACTTTAGGTGAAACTTGTGTGCATTGGCATTGCGAGACAAGTTTCACAGGGGTGTTACAAGGCACAATTTCGTCCTGAAACTTGTTCGCGACACAAGTTTCGGTTGCCGAAGTATGAAGCAGTTCTACTTTTTGTGAAACTTTAGAATGACAAAAGTTTCACAAAGCTGGGGTGTTACATGGTGCAATTGCTTCTGAAACTTGTCTTGCAATGCTGTTACACACACAAAAAAAGTTTCAACGTGTAACAGGACCTTAAGTATGATTCCTATCACCATCATTCCTTAAAAAAAAAATAAAGACAATCTATTACCTGAATTGTTCTAGTGCCAATGACTCAGTAGACTGGTGATGACAGGCAGGTCCACTTCCTGATCCTCCCTTAGGGGGGCTCCCCTGGTTATTCCAGCCAACTGTTGCTTGAGTGAGATTCTGATTTTCATCAGAAACCCATGAGATAGAAGGCAGTTGTTGTTTACTGGCAGGTGTGTTGACCAGGTCCAGAAGCCTTGATAAATCTTTCGCTTCTTGACCCTTGCTATAGGACAAAAAAGCAATAAAAATTTATCAAAAACTTATTGAAAAATTTTATTAAAACTAGTTCATTCACAATACAAAGACAAAATTCTTATATGCTTCGAAAATGTGAGGTATTAGCAGTCAAAAATGCCCTCAACAATTTCCTGGTGTCAGCAGACATGCGTGCAATATGGGTGGAACCTTTCTATTATCAGTTTGAATACTCTTATTAAGTCATCTGAATGTTCCAGCAATCAAATCAAAAAGAGTAAAAATAAACCTTTGATTTGGAGTAATTATTGAATATGGAACCTGTTTCATTATCAGTTTCAATACTCTTAATTAATAAGCCATTCAAATGTTTCCAATTATAATTAAATGCAAGTTACAAGACAAGTAAACAGGAACCCTTTATTTGAAGGTAATTTAAAATGGAATTTTCTTCTTATCAGTTTCAATACCCCTAAATGATAAGCCATTTAAATGTTCCAGTTTTAATCTAATACAAGTTACAAGACATTAGTAAAAATGAACCCTTCATTTGGAGGACTAATTGAAAATGGAATCTTTTCAATATCAGTTTAAATACTCTTGATAAGTCCTTTCAGTGTTCCAGTAATTAAATGCAAGCTTCAAGACAAGTAAAAATTAACCTTTTATTTGTGATTTACCGATCYAATTGTTACTGTCTGGCTGAGTATATTCAAAAACACAGAAGAGTATTCTCAGCATGATCCCTCTACAGAAGTAAAACAAAAAAGCTAAGCAGGTTTCAATGAATGTTATACATTACCTTAGACAAAACAAAATCAATACAAAGTATTTATTCAACAAATAGTATCAATTACTATAGTAATCCACAAAAGAAAACTTAATTTCAAATGTTTACTCTTAAATTTTAAGTTGCATCTTGTTATGAAAAGAAAAAATTATGCCAACAAATCTAAAGTCCCCAAGCTGTGTTTCCATGGCAACAAGTGAGCTACTAAAAACTTTCATTATACCGGTTCATATTCATTCAAAGAAAAAGAGCTATTTTCGACATCATTATCAATTATTTATTATGCCTATTATGTTATATTAATTTACCCAACCAAACTTTTATGCAAAACCATATTTTAACGTCTACATAATAGTGGTCGAATTTATATATATACTAATTAAGAAATCAAATTTCTGATGTCGCCTCTGTTGTATCCTAAATATAGTATTTAATTTGGAAGTATCGTGTCCGCCGGTTTGAGCAAATTTTTTAATAAAAACTCGTGCCAAGTAGCACGCGATTAAGTTGTTTTTGGTATTAAACACAGTAGATATAGTTACATCTTGCGATTGATCGAACAATGGCCGACTATCCTCGACATATTTAACAAAAATAAAAATTGTCAGAAATCCTAATTGCAGTAAAAACCTTGATTTATATATTTCTTTTTTTGCATTAGATAATATCAAAAATTCATCAAAGGAAAGCATGAAATTATGTAGAGTCTAAAGTAGGGACAATCGCTTCTCAATTGATCTCAAAGGGTTCCGATCTCACGTTACATGATATAAACATCGCGGGCAAATAAAAAATATGAACGAACAATTTGACCACAGAGTAATCGGATTCGTGGCGAATCTCCAAGTTTTGAACGATTTATCCCCAGCGACATATCGTCTGGAAAACAAATCAAACTGGTTTTCGGTTAACCGCATTTTGGAACGAAGCCCTATTGAAAGAAATCATTTTTTTTCGTGATCGACCGAGGGTCATTGAAGGCAGATATTAAAATACCGAATTTTAACCGCGAAAAAATATTTTTWAACATTACTTTAAAACATATCATTAATGGGAGGTTTTGAATGCCTAAGATTATTGTTTACAAGAGGAATAGGGGATGTTTATGAAAAAATGGTGATGATAGTAAGTTTTTTTTTCGATAAAAAGCTTATTTATTTTATGAAAAAGTCTATTCAGCCTTGCATAAGGTACTTATTTACTGCTCTAACTACATAAATTGTGGTATATATACACTACCTGATTTCGGTTTCTGCCTCTCCTCTGGACCGTTTCTCTTCAGCAGGCATTTTTTAAGGAAGCAAGGTAATGTTTATTCAGCCATAATACTAGTATCTGGTCGACGCAATATGCGGAACACTGAAATATTTCAACAGAATATTAAATCAGAAAATGGTTGGCTAGCAACACGTAAACCGCCACCAAACCATAAGTTATAGGTATTAACGGTTACAGAACCAGAAAAGCAGTAGGTTAAAGCGGCTTATAACTTGAGCAAGCAGCGTCCGTGTAAAGATTAAACGGTTGAGGCAAAAGGATCTTCCATCTCCGCCAACTGATCATCAAAATAAGCTTCACCTCTACTTACTTACAAACAATCATCGTAACTCTTATTCTCCTTGAATAAACACCGACAGAAATACCCATATCTATTCATAACATCCCAGTTTTACTTCGACACGAAGACAAAAAGTATTCTTCAAGAGTTAGTACGTTTTTTACAGAGTAAAATTTCTTTTACTCGACGTGAACTTATATGCGTTAATTTGTCTCGTAAACCAGAGACGGTGAACGGAAATCTCATCGCAATGAACTATAAACATTAAGAAATTTTCTATAACGTTTACGTTCTATTTTTATATGCAGCTGCTTGGAATACAAAAGAAAATTTATTCAAAATCCTCAAAGTAAGGGATAAGACAGCCTGTTTTTTACATTAGTAAAAATACTGTGTGTTATAAAATATTCTGTGCTGCACGAACTCTTCAAATCACTTTGCTGCGGGAAAAACGTCAAGCGACGAATAAAAGACGTAATATTTGCCAGAATTATTAGGATAAAGACAAGGAAGAATAGATTGATGAAGGCTTAGGTAAAAGCATTAGTGACTTATGAAAAAAGTATTTTTCCAAGGGTTTTTGTGATTACGAAAACACTCCATCTCATATTATCCAAACAAAACTCTTGTCCAGTTACTTAGAGATGGATTGTTTTCGAGGTTTTGTGGCAATTTATACTTACTTTGTTGACGGTATTACATCGGTACTTCGCGGTTCAATTGGAAAGAGATAGCCAGTCCAATATGTACAAATTTAAAAGCAAGTTTTATGGCATTTTTGMGCCATTTTAGTTTGATAAAAGACCTTAGTTTGTTCAAAGTTATTAGCGACTGCACCAAAACCAACGTCGACTTGAGCAACCAAAATATTATAATCTTACAGCCAATCAGGGAGCTCGTTATAGCTAGCAGTGCAAGGATGGGCCAATCAGAGGAGAGGGTATATTACACTTATTAAAATTGTCCAAAACTTTCGCGCTTCGCTTGATCCGCTCTGGGAATTCTTTTTTCTAACAAAATATTTTTTCCGGTTAATGAAGCGTGTTGATTAGAGAAAGCAACAAGGGGAAAAAATTAAGCCCGGCGAACCCGGAAAATTAAGGAATTGTATCGTTGAATGTAAAATGCAAAACCTAAAAATATAATGTCGAGACATCCCCTCTGCATCACTATTCCTCATTTCCTTTATTGATATTCGTGTTCCGCTCTAATAACAGCAGGATATACAGACATACAGGTGAAAACGTTACTATTTTTAGTTGTTTTAATTTCTTTTTAGTTAATACCGTTTTGATACAATACCTCTTTGGACGACAAAAATTTTATTTTAATAACATTTAAAAATGTCTTTCTTTCTTTCTTTCTCTCTTTCTTTCTAGATCTCTCTCTCTCTCT